GAAGTAGAAGAGCTAGCAAAATTACTGCTCTGGAGGAGGTTACCAAGGGCCCAATGGTGAGTCTAGATAGGTGACCCCCTTTCTTTTTAGACCCATAAAAAATCCCTTATGATGCAATCCTGAACCAAATGTGATCCTTGACAGTCCTAATTTACAAATAAAAAGCCACATCTTGTAATATGAAGACATAAGCATATGAAAACTTAGTAGGAATTCCACAACTTCCTCTACTGAATTAATTAACCTGTTTCCACCAATACTACCGCAATTTCTCAACCTACATTTTATTTGTATTTTAAAGACACGCATGCGGGACAATTTAGTCACTAGCTTACGATTCACTCGAATACGTGATTACGAACTGGCCTGGGTAGAGGCGGATCTCATTCTCCCTGCTACTTCGGATACACAGATGTCCAACTCAGCTGACCTAGATGGTGCTGAGTGTACAGTGGCCAGCATGCGACGCGATCAACTAGCCAAGAAAGATTCTCTTCCCGTGTTAGTTGCTCCCGAGGGTCCTGTTGGCCGACACAAGACGGTGTTTGTAAATGAACCTAAATTGTCTGATGTACGTAAATTATAGTTTCCTTTTTACCAGTTTCCCATTTTTTTCTTTCATTTTTACTGTTAGCTTGCTCTTTTTATTTTTTAACATTGCTCTATGGAGCATGTGCTTATTTTGTATATTAAGATGTGTTAGTTTATTTTATGAAGTCATTTTATTTAGTTCACAAGCAGTAGTTGATTTTAAAATATTTCGATTCATTCTATCATTCTTTTTCTTAATAGATGTTTTGTTTAATAGTGTACTTTCTGGATGAATGCAATAAGTATTGCTTCTAATCGAGTTTCTGGGCAAGATTTAATTGGCTTTTCATTCAAGCTGATGATTATGAACGAGGTACTATGATTGCTTCCACTATTCTTCTGAAGCGGAATATATAGCACATGGAAGAACTTACTAAACTTACTATCTTGGTCAAAATTTGAATCTTGCTTAAAGGGATATATTTTATAGTTAAAGTTCTACCTATGAAATC